GGTATCCAAACATGAGGAATTTTATCTTGGAGAAACTTGACAGTTTTCTTGGCTTGATAGGCTGGAGCATAATCCTGTAAAAAAAAGGCCCATTACTTTTGTTTAAACTTTATCTTGAACCAGGGAAGCAAATGCTCACTCAAAAATGCAATAAAATCTTTTGAGTAGATTTTAATCACTGGAACAAAAATTAGAGAAAACCATAACTCCTGCAGAGTGCTGTCTCTTTGTAATGGTTCTGCCATAAACTTAAATATCTCGTCTGGAAATGAAACTTCAAACAAGTTAATTGCAATTCCCATGCAAAATCTAATAAATCTTACAAAATTTGTTAAAAAATTACAAAATCTTACGGATATAAATTTGTATTGCAAAAAAATTGTGAAATTCAAAACTAAAAAAATTGTCTCAACATTTCTTGCACCCTTGAATAGTTTATATGTATATTTATATTTATATATAAAACATGACAAAACATGTTTCTTTACCTCATATTTTTTCCCACAATGTAAAACTTATTTTAAATTCTGTTTGTTATTTGTTTTTAATTTTCATCTTCAATCACCATCTCAATTAAAATCAATTAAAATTAAAATCAACTAAACATTTGAAAAAATTTATTAGCAATTAACTTAGGAATTTAATTTTCTTTAAAAGGAAAATAAAATCAAAATCAAAAAAGAAAATGATCAAAGAAAATCAGTTTTTAGTACTGGTTGTTCGTATAAAAATATTTTCAAAAAATTTCAACAATATTAAAATATATAATAATAAAAGATCACGATTGGTCCTTACTTAAAGCTTACTTAGATTATGATTGTTCCTTTGTTTATTTGTTACCTCTAATTGCCATGTAACAAATTTTAATACAAAACTAATAGCTTTAGCATAAAAGATCAAATATGCATAAAGAGCAGTGAGGAGATTTTTTAAAATGTAAGGAAAAATTGCTTAAAATGAAAGAAAAATCCCATAATCCAAACAAAAGACTTAGAGTTTTAAGAATTTCAAAGAACCCAACAAGTAAAACACCTTCAGAACAATTTAAAATGGTAATAATAACTGTTATTAAACATTAAAATCATCACATTGATTAAAAAATTTATTTGATGCACTTATAAAAAAAAAAGTTTTATAGGCAAAAAAAGCATTTTCTTTTTCACATAAGTATATAACTAAAAAAAGAAGAAAAAGATTGAAACTTTACCTTCGACTTGTACAAACAAAAATTATGCAATAACTAATTACAAAAAGAATAAAACTTTTTATTGGTAAAAATAAGTTAGCAAATTAAATTAATAAAAATTAGAGAAATTTTGTGAAAAAAAATACATTTTTATTCTCTATTTATATACAATCAATACACACGCAGATATATATATATACACACACACACACACATTTATATAAGCAAAAAAAATAACAACAAAAAACTCTTGCAACAAACTTTTTTCTTAGTTTCTTTTCAACAGGAAGGTTGACAAAATGTTAAACATGGTTGCAACTTAATTCAAAAATTTGTTTTGAGTACAATAAAAAAATATGAACCAGAGATAGGAAATCACAGATTGGAACTCAAGAGTTCAGACTCTGTAAAGGAGTCTAGAACTCACAAAGTATTTTTAAAATTGTTGTTTTCGATTTCTTTTTAGTTTTTTGGCTTAAAAAAAAAATTTTTAACTTCCATACTTGGGAACACTATATACACTTGTAATGTAATGTAATGTAATGGATTTATACTATAAATCCAACCATATTTGTCCTTCTTTGAAATAAGAATGAATTCCAATAACATCGCTGTCACTGTCACTACCTAAACAACTGCTGCTCTTTATAACATAACCAATACCACTATGATGAGGATAATATTCGATACGGTTATATAATTGTTTCTCTAACACCTCAATAAATTTGGTGCAACCAGAATGACATGTGATAGAAACTGCCAAAATTGTTCTAGCCCTAATAATATAAGACAATAAATTAATTTTTTATTAAATACCTTTTCAATTTTAATTTCTGTGGTTCACATAGATGTAAGTTAAACAAGTTTACCTTATTTCTTATTTAAACATTATGAAAAATTTAAAGCAACTTATTACAACAGGATATCTCTTTAAGTTAACTTTATTTATTAGAGCATTTTTATTGTAAGCATTTTTTTAACTATTTTTTTATTGTAAGTACTTTTTGAACCACTAAAAGGTTTACTATCTTATGCTTAAGAACGCTTTCTTACTTTACTTAACAATTAAACTGGGGGTTTTAAATTAGAGTTTTTTTCTCTCCAGGTTACCTTTATCAAAGCAAAAGAGCCTCTCTTGCACCAGAAACAGTTGTTTTGAAAAAAAGACTCAAAGACAATATGTAAAAGCAAGAACAGTATTTTTCTTGTCAATTTAAAGCCATTTCATGTAATATTGTTGCTATCCTACTAAACTTGTCAATATTTGGTAACAAGAATACTTTGCAAGTTTACTAAGGATTGGGTCTAGCTTGACTGAGTAGGACACGAGTTTTGATTCAAAAACACTTTTTTTTATGCTGTTAGGTAATTTGAATCAAATGCAAAATACTTCCTGTTTCATACAAATTTAAAGAGATAAAAATATTATTAAATATTGTTTTAATTTTTTTTCTTCCTGTTATATATTGTTTGTTGATTGGTTTTTTCACCAAAAAAATTATTTTGTTTAAATTATTTTAAAATAACACATTCAATAAAACCTATCAATAAAATAATCTATATTTGTACTTCAGACTACTGTACTGAACTAAATGTACCAACCTACCTTTAGACTACCGAACTAAATTTAAATTATATAAATCTCCTTAGGAGATTTATATAATTTAAATTCAATTAAAATAAGACTTAAGTATGGTTGTCAAAAAGTTTTTTACATAAAAATGTTCTCTCTATAAAATAAAAAAGATAAAAAAATATGTTTGGTTATATATTATTCTTTTTATTTAATAATATTATTTTGGCTTCTATAGTATAATAAGTAGTAGAAAAAACAATTATACAAAATTCATAAAAATTAAAACAAAAATGATGTCATTGCAACGTAACAGATTTAGAATTGTTGAGTTTAACAAAAAGTGAACTCCAATGGTCTATCATCACTAAGTTACCATTGTTGCAATTTAAGACATTCTCCTGCAATTTAGAGCATTGTAAACTCTGTATTTTAATTGCTTAGCAAATCTTACACGTATAGTTATTAGGCATAACAGAAATTATTTTTGGTTTAGTCCAGTTAATTGAGCAGATACAATGTTGGGCGTGTTCGACTATACCTGATGCGTCCCAGTTACCTTTATTTATATTTTTCTTGTGTTCATTAATGAATGTGGATATTTTCTTTCTTGTTTCACTAACATAACTCGCACCACATGAACAATCTAACTGATAGACACCAGGCAAACTATTTGCATGATATATTGATTTATTGCGACATAAAATGTTAAGTAAAGAATTACCATAGCAAAAAACGGTTTTAGTACCTACTCTACCAAAGTCTCTTTTCTCTGCTTAGTTTTGGTATCCACAGTAGTATGACAAATTTTCCAGGGTCTGGAAAATTTTTCATACTAATGTGGATGTCTAATAAGGCATCATTCAAAGATCCGCTTCAGATATGGCAACAGTATTTTATCTGTTGCCATATCTGAGCGGATCTTTGAATGATGCCTTTTCTCTTTTAGACAAGATGCAAAAACGCATTGCAAACATAGTTGGACATGCTCTTGCAGCCAACCTTCAACCATTATCACATCGTCATAATGTTGCTTATCTTTCTCTTTTCTATAAATACTTCAATGGGCACTGCTCTAAAGAGCTAGCGTCTATTGTGCCATTCTCGTGTTACTCATAATTTAATTAAGTCTCATTCTTTTACTGTGACTGTTCCTAATGTTTGTTTACTCGAACATCAGTTCTTTAGAATTCTCTCCTTTTATCTTGTTTTCCTGATTCATATAATTTAATAGTTATCTTGCTTTATAAACTTTATTTCTTCTTATATAGTAACTTCCAACTCTAATAGTGGTTGCTTGCAACCTTGTAAGAAGTGAAGATGAAGATAAAATTTCTTATTAATTGAGAACTTGACTTAATCATAGATAGCACATAACACCCTCAGAAATGCAGTCTCATTCTTATTAATCCATTTAGACTTCCTGTCTGACTTCAAAAATGCAAACCAAAAACATAACAGGGACACCTAACATGTGCAACTTGGCACTGTAAATACTCTGATATTCTATATGTGTTGATGGAATCAGTTTCTCTGAAAGTTAACACAGTCTTTGGAAATCTTTCTGATCAGCCAGTTTTAAAAACGGAGTTTTAAGTACCCTCAGTAAGTGATAATAGAAAAAGTTGCATTACTACTAAGGAGACTACTAGAAAGATACAAGCAAAAACCATTAGTTGAGAAGATCCAGAATTCATCATCTTAGGCAGGAAACTATGTAACAGATATACAAAACCTTTACTAGAAAAGCAGCTGGCTTTTTTCGTAAAAGTCGAAAGCGTTCAGTTAGGAGAAAATTTTTATTTTGTCAGAAAATTTAAATTAACTTTTTAACACCATTTATGTGACATTCAGAGGTCTTTAAAAAAAAGCATTTAACTGCAACTGAGAATATTTTAAAGAAACATATTGTAAAATTTAATAGACTTTAAATTCAATATAATTTTAAAAATTTAAATTTATAAAAAAATTTAAATTTATTTAAAATTTTAAAGAAATGTATAATAGTAAAAAGTTGAATGTAAAATTTTGTTTCAAACAAATTTAAAACTGCAATTTTTATTAAAGTTTTTTTCTAATCGTCTGTGCAAATGCAATGCTTTAAAATACTTTTAAAATATCAAATAGTTTTCAGACTCCTGTAACAAGTATAATCTTAATAATTACAAAATATTAAATCTTAATAATTATAAAATATTACAAAGGGTTAAAATTAAAGGGCTTTATCTGAAAGTAGAAAAATGAATTTGGTAACATTCAAATTTAAAAACATATTTACAATATTGCTTTTATTTACCCAAATTATTTCTAGTCTACTCTTAGCCCTATAATGAAAAAATGACTAGAATACGCAAGAAATCTGCTGAATGCGAAAATTTTTATAAAAAGTAGTGATGGGCAACTCAAAAAATCAGCGAGTGACCAAAATTAACGAACTGGTTACTTTCAATCACCCTTCTGGCGACCAACCAAAAGTCCGTGTGTAGACCCTTGTGTGTGTACATGTATTACAAAAATTATCTACAATTTTCATTATTCTATGACGTAGTTTTCATGCTTGCTTTTGTTTAACTAACGAACAAAATTAAACTAATGTTTGTTTTTACTATATACTAAATAGTTTTGTATTTAACATTTTTATACTTGAAAATGATTTTTGTATAATCAAAACATGTTGTTAAAACTGTAAAAAATTGTTATATTTAAAATATTTTTAAAAACACTATCTACTATACTGTCTACATATATAATAGGGCACAGTTATTAAAAAAACTATAAACAATTTTTTTTTGTATACATTTATATTTATTTTTAGAATATGGTTCACTATTTTCTACCAGAGGAATAGCTAGTCCCATCAGTTTGATAATAGATTACGTAGTTTAGGTGGTTAAAAGATGGAGGAGGGTTGTGACCAGGCATGATTTTTTGAATGTGAATTTATAATATTAAATAATTTTTATACTTTGAATATTTTGAATAAGAATCTGTTATCTTTAATTTATAGTGATGAAAAGCCCACAACCAATATATTTACTTTATTATCATTTTTTATAACTAAAAGTTGAAAGGAAGTTTTAAAAAATGAAAAGTTTTAAAAGCATGAACAGATAAAATAAAACTTTGCTAAATGAGGAGTTATGCAAGATTGAATTTTTGTTGATGGAAAAAAAGATGATCATTTGAGTATTTGTAGAAAAGAGAATGTAGTATTACAGAAAAGAGATGTACAGAAAAGAGATGTAGTATTACAACAATAGGACAGAAGCTTGACAGCTAAAGCAAATCCAACTACATTTACAATACATTTTTGGAACTTGTCTAGAAGATTAGATTAGTTCTCATTCAGGTACAAATGAGAGATTTATAGAGTTAGAAAATAGAATCAGGAGTATAGAAATAGTAAGTGTTTGGGCCCCTGAGCCAGGCAAATGAGAATTGACCCCCTGACCCTTTTGAGCCGGGCAAAATGAGAATTTTTGCAAACCCAGCCCTGGCAAAATTAAAGGATTTAGCAGGGGTTGATAGCCGGGGCTAAAAAAAAACTATATATTTTATATATTACAATTTTATGCTTACATTTACTATTTATTAAATACTGGCATATATTTATATATTTTTAAAATCTAATTTACTTCCAATTTACTACATATTGTTATATTTATACTCTATTTCTTTTTCTTGAACATATTGCTTAGAAAAATCAAACCTTTCAGAATTGCTAAGAAGAAATTTTTGCACACATTACAGCAGAACTTATTTCAAACATGATCACAATAGTGGCCATACTTCATGCAATAGTGCTCAATTCTTTTCTAAAGTTTTAGGAACAAAAAGAGGATTAGCAACAGATTTTTTTTTTCTAAAAAGTTTAAAATAAAATTTTTTTTGTCATTTGCTAAAATACCTTATAATTTTATTATCTCATATAATATATATTTTTTTGTTATTCACCTCCACAAGGCCAAGAAGGCCACTACAGATGAGGAGGCTTCTTAATAGTGGTTATAACAATCTCTCAACTCTTTTTTTGCAATTTGTATAAATTATTTTGATTTACTATTAACTGCATTAATAGTAAATCAAAATAATTTATACAAATTGCAAAAAAAGAAAAATAAACTTTACTCTCCTTATTACCTCGCACTTTACTTGCCCTAATCTATATAACCTTATCTCAAAACAGCAGGACGAATCATTATTGTCTTTGTGTAATTAAAACCATATTCTAAAAACAGATTTTAATGCTTTAAAAGTTCCCTTTTTTGTATCAAATATTTAACTTAAGCTCTTAAAGTCAATATTTTTTCGGCTACGCTTTATATTAAATGACAAACTTCAATTATGAACATAATAAAATTACAACATTTGAGTCATTTAAGTTTTTATATTAAACTATTTACTCCTGAAGCATTCTGAGAACAAAATGCTTTAAGATAGAAAATTCGCCTCTTTCAGATGATTTGGGGCCAATCTAGATGCAAGGGTATCAAGTACTCATCAGCAATAACATTAGCTAAAGGGACATCCGTACATCCATAATTTATGTTAGCAAATTAAAATTTTCAGCAATTATCAACAATTTTTTACAAAATACTAATAATTGCCTAGGAGTTCGTTAAAACTTCCAAATATTTGATTTGCTTATTCTTTTAGAGTATGTCAATGTGGGTCAATCAAAAAGAGGGAAATTATGAAACTTCTTTTTTTTTTTTATCTTAAACGTGTTCTAATATAAGTTGAATATTATTTTAGAAATTTTATATAACTCCATTTAGACACTAATTGATATTTTTGAAAAGAAGTTTTTCACATTTGGAACCTGGAAAATGTTCAACTTTTAAAAAAATCAAAAATAAATATAATACCCATTGCTTTGAAAATAATCCACAGCATCAAATAAAAATGCACACAGCTTAGTAGCAGTTGATAAAGGTTCTTTCATATTATGATTGTATATTTCATCAAAGTTATCTACTAAAATTAAATCATAAATCAAATCTTCTAAATGAATTTCAGCCATTAACTTCAAAAACTCATTAGGCTTTGGTGTGTAAAAAATCTTAATTCTTTTAAGTGAATGTGACGATGGCTGGGATCGAAAATTAAACAAACAAGGCAAGGACCCAAGTTGTTTGTTGCTTATAAATAACACATTTTTCTCATTTTCTGCAAATTGAAATGCTAATTCAAAAAGAAAACTTGTTCGCCCACAATTTTTAGGACCACAAACCAAGTATCTAAGTATTGAATGATTAGGAAATAATTCATGATCTATATTTTTATCTTCTTCCAGATAATTTAACATTAATATTTTTTTGAATGCTATGCTAGTAATTATATCAGCCATGGTGGATATATCGTCAACTATAATATGAAACAATAACCATAATCATTTTAAAACAATAAATTCAGTGCTACCAAAATTCAAATAATGTAGATCACGTAATAAAACTTCCAAAAGTAAATCTGCCCTACCATGTGTTGATTTTATACCAACTGAACTAAAGATAAGTGGGGCTAAATGTATGGATATTATTATTATTTTTTAAACTTTAAGGTGTGGGTAGGAAATACATATTTTTTTAATTCATTTAAAAAAAAAATCTAAACAAGAGGTAAGGAGTTCAAACCTACTACATCTTTAAAAATACCACACTCAAATTGTTTCTGTTCATCAGAGTATTTTGAAAGTTAAAACACTAATTAAAAAAAAAGGATAACAACACACACTAATCCACCAGTCAATTTAAGTAATGTTAAACTTATTTCCACCAATCTAAGGATAGGTGGAAATAAGTGTAATATAAATACGATGCCACCAGTTAAAAGCTGTTAAGAAAAATTGCAGACCCATACTTTTCAATTAAAAAAAAACTTTTTCTTGAATTTACTAAACAACATCAATGCAACTGTTTACAATTATTGTTCGAAAATTTTATCAGTAGAACGAGAAACTTTTTGAAGCTATACCCAAGTTTATTTTGGAAACTTTTTGTCCAAAGCAATATTTGTAACTAAACCTTCGATAATTAAATGAATTCAACAACAAACAGTTTTTCTTAACTGATACAGTCGGTTTGAAAAACAAGGACAAAATAAACTCTTTTTTTTTAATGTACATGTGTTTTGATTTCACATATTCCACGTTTAACATGGAATATAAACATGTTTCACTCTCCTTCCAGGTTTCACCTTTTTTCTTTAAAATGTTTTATTTTTATCAAAGACAAATCAAAGTGACAAAATTCAAAGGCAATATGAATATTTTTGTAAATATTAAAATATACATCCATGTGTGAATGACACCTCATTTCTTACATATTTTAGTAAAGATTGATAACTGCTTATTTGACTAAGAGATGATTTGTATGCTTTGTTTATGTTTTTACTAAATTTTTAATAAGGCAGTGTGTTGAGTTTTTGCTGTGCTATATCGGAAAAACAACACGTACTACAGTAACTTTATTTCTAATTTAGTGTCCCGAACGAATTGATTCAACTCTTACTTTTTTCTTTTGCATTTTATATAATTACTGCGCGTCCGAATCACAAAGACGAACATTTACACGAAAGTGATGGTCAACATTATCAGTGTGTTCGGAGACAAATCCAGAGTTTAGTGGTACTCGGTGTAGTTAAGGCGATTTACAAAATATTCGAATACTTTTATTTGGAATCAGCATGGTTTTGTCAGCATATTATGTTCTTTAAATGCTACAATTTTTCTAGCTTAAGGTTTTTATAATATTTAAAGAAACTTTTCTTTTTTATATATAATTTTCAAAACCTTTTTACTACCCGTAACAGTGTATCTAAAGAACACTATTTTGGAGGCTTTAAATCAATTCCGCTCATCGGCATTAATATGAATTTAGTTAAAATCTTTTGAAAAGCTTCCATAATTTACTACTAATCTAATCGGTTCTGACGTATATTAACTATATATAGTTGTCAAAACACAATATTTCTATCAATTTTTACAAAAAATACTAGAATTCCAAGTCTTCCAAGAAAGAGTCTATAATTATAAAAAATTGCCAATAAACGATCAGAACAGATCATATTGTTAAATTATAATGTTCATTTTACCTAAAAAACGTATTAATATAAAATCTTATTTGAATTTGAACGAGCGATTGTGATTTTAAGATGATTTAAAAAAAAAAAAAAGAATCATCGGTCTGGATTTTTTCACTACAAACATTTATATTTTATGATTGATCATTTTAAGTATTAAACGGAAATATGTCGTAGTCAACAAAATATCATACAGACGCTCTAATATTTTAAAAGTGCCTTAACTACACCGAGTTGGTCGTAATCCGAAGAGAGTTTAGTAGGGAGTTTCCCTACTGTAAATTTTTGTCAATTATAGTAGGAAAGGGTTTTCCCTATAGAAATCTAGCTACAGGATATTCATTTTTGCGATATTTTTCAAGATTAGAAATATGAAACACACTGATGGCCAAATAGACCACCAGATTTTATGCTGTGCAGGGCCGTCTAGAGATGGGGGGGGGGGGCGTAGAAAGGTGTCTAACCCCCCTACGAATTTTTTCGGTCGTAAATTCGGAACTGGAGTCGGCAAAATTAGATCTATAGTCGGCAAATATCGGAAACGCGGATCTTTTTTTTTTTAGATAATTTTAGGCTTTTGTAGACATCACCCCCCCTTCCTTTAAAATCTCTTCGGGAGGGCCCTGATGCTGTGCCACCACAAATAGACCACCTCAAATGAAACCTTTTCTATTCAAGTACACTTGTTTTATAGCAAAAGAAAAAAGATTTTTTTAAATCCGAACAAAGTACTAAAAATCATAAATTCGTTAAAAGAGTAAATTTTAGGGGCTGAGCCAATTTAAGCATTTTAAATGTCCATTATGCAAAAAATATATAATAATTTTTAATAATTTAAACATTTAAAAACATTTTATGTTAATTAATGTATAGTAGATAATCCAATTTAAATAGTTTTTTATCCTGCATCAGAGTAGCATGTAAAAATTTAAACTATTCTTCCATTAAAAGTAACTACAGAGTCGTTCTCGATGTTAGGTATACTATTCTACATTTTTAAATCTATTCCGTATTGTTTTAAATTTATAATGAAGTTTTCACACTGTTGAGCAAACTGTCTAAAAAAGATTCTTTTAATACACCTTTAAATCCCCGATTTTTGCAACTTAGATCTTTGGTTCAATATATGAATGACTTTAAAAAGAAAAAGGTTCTTATTTTTGTCAAATTTTGCCACTCAGCATAAGTTAGGATTTTCTAAATTAAAAAACTTTTTCCTAACTACCCAAGACTCTTATCATCAAGGTTATTTTAATAGTTGACAGCTATTTTGCAGACTTTCCGTCAAATTTACTTTTTTGCCCCATTTATAACGCTTAACACTTTATCAGAATTTAAAAGAAACTATTTCAGACTACATTTATATTCATCAAGAGATTTCAAATTTCATCTAATAATGTTTTAAAGTGCAAATGTTATGACCAAATAATTTTAAACTCCCTTATTTTAAGGGGTTTGAAAACTTACTTGGTCATGGCTTTTGAACATAAGTTTAAAAACATTGAATTTTAAAATTTTGTTTTAAAAAAGAAAAAACTTTAACTAAATCTATGCATCATAATCTTAGGATGGTGTTTTTAATAAAATATTATATACATTTTATTAAAAACACTATCCTTATGTTACCATATATAGAATACTATATGAGATTGACATCAAATACTGTAATCTCAACGCTTAGCTATAAGTTTATAAAAAACTTGCGACCTATGCAGGGCCGGCGCGAGTAGGTGTCACGTGGGGTGGGGGTGCCATTACAACTTTTGCCGAATAAAAAAAAAAAAAAAACAAGGTCTTTGTCTTTTAAAATTTGCCGACTGCCCTCCGACTGGCATAAGAACATATGCTGACTGACTGTTTAAATTTACCGACCAACTTGTCGAAAGGGTTTTCATTTGCCGACTAACTATTTAAAAAGTGTCAAATTTGCCGACTAAATGAACCAAAAAATTATTGATGAAGAGGGGGGGGGGGGTTACAACCTCTCCCCCCCCCTCCCACACACACACACTCACACCCCTCGCGTCAGCCTTGGGCCTATGTTTTCATCATTTTTTTTTACCAAAGACAGGATTTGGTTTGTCTACATTAAACTCTAAATGGTTTCTACGTTACCTTATACTCAATTTTAGCCTGAGCCTCATTTGCGACCATTATTATTTTTTTTCCGACTATATAAACATTCTTTTCTATTTTTATAAAATAAATGCTCTTTGATTAAAAAAATTTGTAAGGTGCATTTAAAATACTTTAATGAGTAAACCCTCAGTTTTACCCATAATCCAAAATATAACTTAATCAGCACTCTTTTCTATTGTTACAAGATAAATACTCTTGAATAAAAAAGGTCATCCAAAGACTGATTATTTTTAAATCAACCAATTCAACAAAAATTGAATTTTAATAAAAACTTGCAATTGAATTTTTTTATATTTTTATGTTTTAACTTTAATTTTAGTCAGACTGGTTAACCGGGCCTCATTCATATAAATAGGCTCTTTATATTCTAAAAAAATAACCAAAAAGATTTTTATGATTGGTGGGTTAGTCTGCTCAAAAATCATTAAACCTGAAAATTGACCCCTACTTTATTAGATAGTCTGTATCTACCGAATTAAAAAACTTCCCCCCTCTTTCCTAGATGGCCCATATCTTTTTTTTTTTTTTTTTACTTTATTTATTTAGCCGTACAAATATTTACAAGTTCCGTGTTTTATAATATATATATATATATAAAAATGGCAATGACGAGAAGAAGACAGGTTTGCCTTATCAACAAGTCCCTTGTTTTTTCAATATATTTATATAAATACGTTGTAACTAATATTAAAAATTAAAAATGAGAGAAAAAAGCAAAATGTTTTAAAGAAGTTTATACAAAATGCAAAACAGTTTAATAGAGCCTTTCAAAGTTATTATTAATGTTTAAAAAATATTTTTAATTAATTAAAAAGTTCTCAATAACATGAAGGTTAACTTCGGTAATGCAATGGTATTTTTATTCAAATTTCAAAGTTATTCAATGAAAGAAAATTTAATAATTCATTCAAGGAAACAAAAATCAACAGCAACAACAACAACAACAACAACAACAACAACAACAACAACAAAAAACATGAAAAAATTAAAATATAATGTTAATTTACAATCAAAAGATATATACACATACACATACACATGTATGTATATATGTATACATATACACACTTGCGCACGCATACAAATACACATACACACATTCTTACATAAGTGCTGTAAATCCATAATTACTTTTTCATAATATAATTGACAGTAATATATATATAATTCAAGACTTTATTCCTTTCCAGACAAATAAAGTATGCATTAATAGATTATTTTCAAATATAATATTTTTAAAAATAGATTTAAAAATAATTCTTCGTTTGATTTAAAGCAATAGTTTTAGCTTTTGTTTAAACTGTTCAAGAGTTGTAAATGTTTTAATATCATTACTAATTAACTTATTCCATACATTAGGTCCTCTAATAGTTATTGAGAACTTGGTTGACTCATATATAGTTTTAAGCTGAACAAAGTTGTTATTTGAATATTTAGTCATGTATTTGTGTTGAATTTTATTAAATAATGGTTTGAAAATATTTGGTTTTGTATTATTATTAGTTTTATACATAAAAATTAGCAGATGATATTTAATTGGTACAAATTTAATATTTCTAGATTGTTGAACAAAGGTCTAGAATGTAAGAGGCGGTGTACATTTGATAATAATCTGATTGCATGTTTTTGTTTGCTAAATAACTTTTTTGTTTTTGTTTTATTGGTGCTGCACCAAACAATGTTTGCATAATTAAGATAGGAATGAATAAATGAGTAATATATGCATTTCAAACATGATTGATCTAAGTATGGTTTTGCTTTATAGAGTAATCCGATATTTTTAGAAATTTTATTTTCAATCATGTTTATGTGGTCTTTCCAATTTATGTTTTCATCTAGTATTACACCGAGAAATTTCATTGAACTTTCTCTTTTTACGTTGTATTCTCCAATAATAAGTTTTGGAAGTGCAATAGGGGTTTTATCTTTTTTACGAAGCCGATGAAAGATAGGTTTTAGTTAAATTAATTGAAAGTTTATTCATATTTAACCACTCAGTTAGTTTTAGAAGTTTAATGTTGACCGTTTTAAATAATGTTGTTAAATCACTATGAGAATAAAATAAATTTGTGTTATCAGCAAATAATACTGAATATAGAATATTAGAAGCTTTGCTTAAATCATTAATAAAGATTAAAAATAGAAGTGGTCCTAATATAGATCCTTGAGGAACGCCGCAAGTAATTGTCATATTGTTAGTTTTTTCATTACCAAATGAAATATATTGTTTTCTATTAGATAAGTAGCTTTTGAACCAAGCTATATTTATATTTTTGATTCCATAGTTTTCTAATTTTTTGATTAAAATACTATGATCAACAGTGTCGAATGCCTTACTAAGATCTATGAAAATACCTAAAGTGAACTTGTTTTATATCCACAAAATCAAAACATTTGATGCTGCCTTAGAATTTTCAACTTTAGAATGGAATTAATTAGAATGAGTGAATAGGAAGACAAAAAAAGGTGAAATTTTGTTTGAGTATTTTATGATAATGCTAATTAGACCCAAATTACTGTTATTATCTGTTTTTATGTTAGTTTCAAATTACTGTTACTATCTGTAATTATGTTAGTATCCAGTTTTTTTCTGAGCCCGAAGTTATCTTCCCTAAAAATAACCCGCATTTCCTTGCTGGTCAGGATGGAAACTTATGCACTAGTAACAACTTTTGCACTTCTTTTAAAAACACCTTCATGCCAGACAAAAAACCATGACAGATTCAGTTTTTTTTCATCAAGTGGGGTAAATAGTCAAAAGGCTACGATGTGTTTAGTGAATGCGCAAGTTTTAATGACAGAGGATTTTGGCAGCATCATCATCTTTACATGTCTGTTGAAATGTTGCAAGTAGTTTTAAAACTATCTTTAACCCTTCACCCCTTCCGTATTAGCTCAGTAGTGTCGCCGTGTAGTTTCTGCATTCTTTATGTGCCGTTTCAGTAAATTGCATACCTGGTACACTTTTTTTTTATTATTATTGTTATTTAGGTGCCCCAAGAAGACCTAACGGTCTTGTCACAGAGCACCGCGGAAGTGCGTTTAACCCGGAAGTTCACGTCTCCTTCCTTACCGTGACGCGAAAATATGTCCAAGGCTCGTTTTGAACCTGGATCTTCTGCTTATAAAGCAAGCGCTCTAACCACTGCGCCACGACCTCTTCCTCTTTTTCAGGATCGTGTTCTGTCTCAAGTTTTTGTCAATTCTCAATGACACACACTTCACACTTGTCCTCGCCAAGTTTCACAAAACTTATCTTCATTGAGTTGGCAACTCCTTGGTAGGCATTTTATACACGATAAACATCGAATTGATTAAGTTGGTAGTTGTTGTACATTTCCTGGATTGTAACGTCAGACGGGAGGTATTGGTGCTTTATAGCTTGCTCACGTCTATAGTGACTGACACATGGTCAAAAAGGTTGAATGTGGAGTCAAATATTTTCTTTTTGGATGTCCGTTAAGATATGAGTGGGTCCGTTAAGATATGAGCGCTTTTACATCAAGATAAGGTGTAATGAATAATGAGGAATTTGATTTCAGGAGTACAGTGACAACTTTATCATGTTTATACCTTAATATGCAAGAAAAATGTTTTACCATACATCATGCTCCAGACCATCATGGAAGGAAATACTTTCGGGTAAAATCTTTCTTCCCCTAACATTAACAGATTTACACGCTGTTTTTTTGGGATCAATTTGATATGATAAAACATCTAAGATCTCCTAGTATTGTTTTTCATTTTCAAAAATTAAGAGTGTATAATTATCCTTTGTTATTCTGTCACGCTTTCCAGACAAGCAGAACATTTGAAAGTGACGTTATTGTTTTCCATCCTGCATTCCCACAACTCGACCATTACTACATTGACATAGGGATGGTTTACAATAATTGTAATAGGGTAAACAATCATCAACAAATTAAATTATAAAATCATAAATTTATTTGCCACAAGAAAGATGATAACTAGAATTGTATGATTCTTTGGAACTCCTGAATCTTAATTATAAAAATATTTACATTAAACCTTCAAGCTGAAGCTGCCATTTGTATAATGAAATATACTTTCTAAAGCTGCACTCTAATTGGCTGTTATCTAATTGCAATTGCGCAACTAATTTCTCATCTTGAAAAAGAGGTCAGTAAAAACAATAACAAACTAAATTCATAATTTTGCTCTTCCTCTTCTCTCTAGCGAGAGTTTTTATGACGTCAGGTGCATAACATCAATTAGATAAGCATATATAAGCATGCATGTTTTAATATAAGCATGCATGTTTTTAAATCAAAAGCACGTACAACTATACAATTTAATGAATGCTTTTTTACTTCTAATACCGTTACTTTACATCCATTTTTTCATGAACCACTTCTGTATAAAATAACATCAATGCAACACATTTAACATTCACTAATTAGGATTAATAAAAAAAAATTTTTAATTATTATTAAAACCACTTTTTTCTTGCTTTTTTACAAGCAAAAATTATTACTATTATGTCATCTTATAACAGAAATGTATCCAGTTCATTTTCAAAATGTGTGTCCGGTAAAAGCTCTTGTTCTATGGTAGCTTCAATCATTTTTTAAAATCAATTTTAGTTTATCTTCTGTGAAAGGTACTAGCATTGAGTTAAAAAATTAGAATTAGAATGCGTATAGATTGGAAATTACCCTATATACCCTTTGAGTATAATTGGTTTAGAAAGCCTACAGTGTTTCCAGGAGTGAAAAATGAAGACTCCTTCAAACTATTGGAATGCGAAGCAACTTTCATAAATTCGTCTTCTATTTCACAAGCTTTAATTTTTACCGGTTCTTGATCTTTCAACCAGATGAATGAAAATTTTTAAGTAACATTTTTTCAGATAACTGAATAAAAAAGTTAGTAATTTAAAAGTATTATTCAAGTCATATTGATGAAATCATAAAAATTTGTCATTAATTAATTAATTGTAGTCAGTACATTAAGTTAATTTAAAAAAAATAAATACCAATAACTAAAAAACCTAAATCTTGATGACGCAGTTCAAATTATTCAAAAAATTATAAAATCAATTTAACAATATAATTAATTAAAACATGTAAAAAATGTTATAAACATAATTACTACTAATACCTACATTTAAAAACCCTTTAAAAACTATTGAATAAACACCTTTTTATAAAAAAATAAAAAAACTAGATAGATTCCAAGTCTTACAATGTAAAAAAAAATAAATTTTAATTTAAAAAAGAGCAGAATTTATCCAAATGGGGTAATCCATTTATAGTTTTCTCAAAGTTTTTCAAAATATTGCTGACTATTTTTCTCTCAAAAAGGGTGCAGATAGGTTGGAACAGACTTGTCAAAGAAAACTTATTTTACATAAAACTTTTACCCTACTATAATAAAAAGTTGCCCTGTTTTTAAAGGAAACATTTTCAATACAAAAATAACTTTAACAAATACATAATTTTTTTTTTTTTTTTTTTTAACAATAAATTTAAAACTTATTATAAATATAATATACATTTAAAAAACTAACTACTTTATTTAAGTTATCTATAAACATCGGTTCCATTATGTAACTACCAATATGAAACTGCCATAATAAAATTGCTATTATATTCAACATCAAAAGAAGCATAGTTAAAGTTTAAATCGTTCTCTAAAACAAAACAAACAAAACTATATTGAATACACGTTTAAATCCAAAGCTACATTCAACATAAGCAACCAGTCAAGACTTTTAAAGATAAAACTTTTTTTTTTAGTGCTTTCAATTTTAAATATTACGTGCACTAAAAAAGTTGGATAAAATATTAAAGAAAAATACATAAATAAAATACGTAAAATAATCATAAAAATGTCAATCATTAAATGTGTTAAAAATTTTAATGCATTAAAATGTCAATCATTAAATGTGTTAAAAATTTTAATGCATTAAAAAATTAGAAATTTATTAAAAACTTTAATAAATTAGATCTTTCATAACTTTAATTTAAAATAATAAAAGTAAACAAATAGGGTTATTAAATAAAATAAAACTGTAATAAGTTTTTTTTTTTTAATAATTTATTTATACCTATATTATAATTTGTACCTGCAATATAATCAAGTAAAGGGATAGCTAATCTGCTATAACGACAAACAATGTCAGCCCAAAATGTATTAATAACATAGTTGACATCGTTACTGTTATTGTTATAATTATTGATACTAGTGTTATCATATTCATCAGTAAAAAATGACCCCCATTGGGTGGATGCTATTAACTGCTTTTCTTTTGATGTTGCTTTGAATGCTGACTGTAAAATTTAGTTAAGTTTAATTGTTAATTTCAGTAAAATATTAAAAATATCTACAAAAAAGATAAAAAATTAAAAAGAATATTTTAATTTAAATAACCAGTGCTCCATTAAATTTGTTATTCTTAAAGCAAACTTTTTCTGCTTCCAATTCTTCTAGTACTGCCACAGTATCCCAATTCATAAACTTCTTAGGAGGGTAGATGTCAGATTTCATACTATCTCCAAAATACACAACCTATTTTAAGTATGTGTATAAAAAGATGTTTTCACGTTTAAATAATTTGTGTACCAAAGTTATATTGTTCAAAATAAAATTACTACCTTCAATGAATCAGAACAAGACCTTAAAACTCTCTCAAGTTGGCACGCATGACCTCTAGCATACAAAGTGTGTTTTTGAAGGTCTGCTACTTCAACATTAGTAAGATTTCCTTCGTGAACTTTTATAAAATTTCTACTTTTAAACTCATCTTGAAAGAAGTCTATAAATAAAATTTACAATTTTTACAATTTACAAGATTTAAAAAGAACTCATTGATTAAGTCAAAATATGAATGACTCACAAATGACAAAAGTTGTTTATGAATAATAAGTATAGAAAAGTCATTGGTTAATAGTCATTAGTTAAAAAGTAATACTTGGTTTATTTGCAGCCACAATTATGTAATCAAACGATTCCTTCCAATCCAAACTAACATAAATACAACAAAAAATCTTAACAAAAAATATCTGTATTGACAAATGTATCTGCTTAAAAAACTATTATTTCAAGTTTTCTCAGATATTTTAGATTAAATAAAAAAAAAAAAATTGAAAATCTGTTAGCAACTCACCCAAAGGTAAATGACATTATAAACTCAGCATAATCTCCATAAGAATCAGTAATAAGCACAATTGTTTTTCCAGAAACTTTTAATTTCTTTATCCACGTCATAACACTTGAAGGACACTTTTTTATATATCGTTTTATGTCTTTTTTTAATGAAGGAAAAAACATACCTAATTCAGCTAGAAAATAAAAACACTATATTATTTGTATTACAATAAAATTTAGTTGCATTTGTGTAACTTAACTCTAGTTGCTATTTGTGTTAAAAAAAACAACAATAAAACATCAATAAAACAACAATAAAACATTAAAAATTAAATGTGACGATAACCATAAAACAAAAACAATCATAAAATATAAAACAAAAAAAATTGAAGATTTTCTTTTGTTTTGGCATAAACATATTTCATTAAGTTGTTATAACAATAAATTAAATATTTTGCAGAACTTTAAAACAGTTATTTTTTGTTTAAAGATTCTAGATTAGATTGTGTTAGGAAACTGAATTGAATGCACTAAAACCATTTTTTTCTTAAAAAGCAAATAATTCACAACTTCATAATTACTATATAACTGCACTGAATCAAATAAAATTTAGCTGAACAAAATAAAAAATGTTTGAAATGCAGTGCAGATGTTTTTTAGCGAGGGCTAGGTTTTCATGTTGGTATAAAGATTTTAAAAAATAATTGGTGTCAGGGAAATTTAATGTCTTTTACCTTATAAAAAATCTCTTATCAGAACATTTTATTCTTGTTTAAAGTAACTATAATTTAGCCAAAGTCTAGACAAAGCATAACCACCATTTGCAAGATATTGACATAAAAATAATAGATATTAAAATAGTAGATATTGACATACAAATAGTAACATTGTGATGGCAATATATGCTGGTGTAAAAGCATTTATAAATCTTTATACAAGTTTTCCTTTATAAAATTCAAATACTTGTGTATGCATCAATACAAATTTTGTTTTATCTTTTTAAACTTTAACAATATTAAGTTTGCTGTTTTACTTGAGTAAAAATTTATGGTTTTCGAAACCCTTACACTATTAATTACACCTTTGAAAGTTCAAAAAATTTCTTTTAAGTTATGTTGATAAATTCTAATAATAAAAAACTTTTAAAAACCTTTAAAAGAAGATGGTTGAAAATTTAAAAGCAATGCAGCTGCAACATCTTTCCACACATGAGTATAATCAGATAAAACTCCATTCTAAAATTTAAATTACTTTTAATTCTAATTATGTAAGATAATTATGCAAGATTTTGATTCTAATTATGCAAGATTTTAATTCTAATTATGTAAGATTTTAATTCTAATTATATCATATTAATTTCTAATCATGTGTACATCTTTTATGTGTACATCTTTTGTGGTTACATTTTTTGTTTGTGCATCTTTTGTGTGTACATCTTTTGTGTGTACATCTTTAGTTTATACATCTTTTGTGTGTACATATCTTTTGTGTGTACACCTTTGTGTGTACATTTTTTGTGTGTGCATCTTTTGTGTGCACATCTTTTGTATGCACATATTTTGTATATACATCTTTTGTGTGTACATCTTTTGTGTGTACATCTTTTGTGTGTGCATCTTTTGTGTGTGCATATTTTGTGTGTGCATCTTTTGTGTGTACATCTTTTGTATGTACATATTTTGTATATACGTATTTTGTGTGTACATCATTTGTTTGTACATCTTTTGTGTGTATATCTTTTATGTGTACATCTTTTGTTTGTACATCTTTTGTATGTACATATTTTGTATATACATATTTTGTGTGTACATCTTTTGTTTGTACATATTTTGTGTGTACATTTTTTGTGTGTACATCTTTTGCTTGTACATCTTTTGTGTGTACATCTTTTGTTTGAACATCTTTTGTGTGTACATCTTTTGTGTGTACATCTTTTGTGTGTACATCTTTTGTGTGTACATCTTTTGTGTGTACATCTTTTGTGTATACACCTTTGTGTGTGCATCTTTTGTGTACATCTTTTGTGTACATCTTTTGTGTGTGTATCTTTTGTGTGTACATCTTTGTATATGCTGCTAACTTGCTGAATAAAAACAATTTTGTAACTTGCAACCAATTTGTACACAAAACAGCTACAAACATAATTCTTCAATTGTTTTTAAGAGTTTAAAAATATTATTAACTATTTAAAAAAAAAAAATTTTTTATTTATTTACATTGATAATTAAATAACTTACATTAACTTTATCAACCTCTTCAATTATCTCACCAATCAACAAAGCAGCAGGCATTAAAAAGAAATTTTCAAGAAGAACATACCCCTCTAAACAATAAACAAAGTTTAAATAAAAACAGTAAAAAAAAAAGATTTAATGTTGTAAAGTTAAAGATAAAATTTTAAAGATAAAATATTTTTGATAATTTGAAATCAATGGTAAACCAGCAGCTAGGGGAGTTTGGGTTTAAAGGATCATTTGTAATTATGGGTACAAAGAACATTTTTAATTATGCAAAAACTAAAATGTGTATTTTATTTGTGTACAATAATTGGGATAAAAATGTTGTTAAGAACTAAATTACTGAAATGTTACTAACAAAAATAATTGATTTGAAATAATAAGATGTTGCCTAATAAAAATTATCAAAACCTTAATGATAAATAATTACAGAAAACTTTAATTTCTCAATAAAATGATTCAACGAGCTTTAGTATTGTGGTACAGAGAATCACTGCTTGGGGTACAGTGAATTAATACAAGTCCTTTGTTATGCACTGTATATTTTTTTTAAGTAATTTTTTTCCAAAAAACTAAAAACTAAATTTAATTAACCATTTAAAGCAACTCGAGCTGAACTTCAAACTAAGGAAACTTTCAAAGTTGAGTTTCAAACTAAATTAGAACAAATGGCATCTACATATACTTTAAAGTCCACAGAAAAGAAACACAACTCAATGGGTCTTTCCAGAAATGTTTTGATGGTAAAAAACTTTATAAAAGTTACTGTTTGAATTATGTGCTAAGCATTAGAAAGAAAAATGATTAATATTTTAATGCATAAAATGATGACACAACCAAGAAAAGAAACTTATGATATTTGAGAACATCCTTTTCACTGTGTCACTTGATCCACAGTACCTTAACTCCCCCCTAAGCATCTCAAACATTATTTAAATGACAGAAAAAAAAATAGTGTCACCAGGCTGTCAGAAGAGGCAAATGATAATAAAAAAAAAAAATTAGCAAATTTGAAATGAAGTCAATTGATTTCAAAATGAACCTCTCGTTCACTTATAAACATACCATGATTGTAAACCTTTTCTTTTAATATTGAAAACTGAGACCATAACCGCTTAATGCCATACATTTCAGAAATATAATCACCACTCATATTCTTTAACCCATGAGAACACCTATTGCATAACAATGAGAACACCTATTGTATAACATTCAGAACACCTATATAATAACAATGAGAACACCTATATAATAACAATGAGAACACCTATATAATAACAATGAGAACACCTATTGTATAACAATCAGAACACCTACATTATAGCAATGCAAACACCTATATATTAAATACAATTAAATTAAAATATATCACTTTTTTTTGGATTTTAAAATTTTAAAAAATTAAAAAATAAAAATGAATTATTAAATAATTACGAACACACACATTTAATAATTACAAACAAATTAAAAACATTTATATTAAATAGTTAAACAAAACATGCACAGCTATATATAAATAGTTAAACAAAACATGCACAACTATATATAAATAGTTAAACAAAACATGCACAGCTATAAATAAATAGTTAAACATGCACATGCACAGCTATATATAAATAGTTAAACATGCACATGCACAGCTATATATAAATAGTTAAACATGCACATGCACAGCTATATATAAATAGTTAACAAAACATGCTATATATAAATAGTTAAACAAAACATGCTATATATAAATAGTTAAACAAAACAAGCTATATATAAATTATAAATAAATTATCCAATTATGACTAGCTCAAAATCGTTTGAAGAATAAAATTTAAATTATTAAAAACTTTTAATGTAACAGACAACAGAAACTCAAACAAATGGTAGTAAAATCCCATCCACAGAAGGTTGAAGGTTTAGAAGTTAAAAGTGAGAAATGTGCAGGTATTAGTTCTTTAATTGTTTTTACACTTAAAGAACTAATGCCTTAATAATTGTTTTTCAAGTAACCATGTACAAGAAACAGGTTTATAGTTTGAAAGCTTTATCACCATTTTTGAAAAGATTTGAATCTTTCCACAACTTCAGTATATCACTTGATTGAAGGAACAGCTCAAAATCAGAAACAATAATTAAAATAAACCAAATTCCTTAATAATATTTTCATCTTTTAAACCATAGCAGTAAACCTTTTCATTGCATATGATTTTTTCATACATTTTTTGTCATTTATCCAAAAGAAATGATGTGTTCTAATATTAAATTGCTAAATCGAAGTTAATGTTAAATCTTATACATAATCTCAACTTCTATCTGTTATTATTAATTTCTATTATTATTTTCTGATTTTTATAAATTTTTTATTTTTAAATTCTTCAAATTAAAACTGATTTGCTTCAACTGCTTTGTTCTCAAAACAGTGTTTTCTACCAATCATAAACTTACATAAATTTACAATCATTATTACTTAGACTGTCAAGAAGACATTAATTTATGCCTTTATTTCAAACTAAAGATTGTTATGGTCTCAACGCTATGGTTATTCCACCAATCAGAAACATTCAATAATTTCAATTATTTAATATAATTTTATAATTTTAAATTTTTGTTTATTAAATGTATTTATATTTGTTCTTATAAAAGTTAGTTACACCACAATTTTTGCTGATCAAATGTGATCAACCAGAATTCTGGAAGACCAAAATGATATTTTGTCTTAAAGTAGCCCATCAGTCATTGTTAAGCATTATTTCAAGCACTGAAATATTTAAAAATTTCTTGATTGTATCAATTTAAAAGCCTTTAAGTTCATCAAAAAATTTATAAGGAAAGTTTGGAAACTATCCTTATATTTTTGTTTGCTGTAAAGTAAATGTTTTTAACTTTTTATATACTTGAATGGCAGAATTTTATATACTTTTCAATTGATTAAAAGTTATAAATAAGAGTGTAATGAAAATGTTATAAAAATTACATTAGATTTTAATAAACTTTATTTCATGTTTTAAACTGTTTAACTAAAACTAATAAAATATTATTTAGTGCATGGTTTATTTACTTTATTTTGGATTATTTACAGTGAATTACATAGTTTATTTACTTTATTTTGGATTATTTACATTAAAGTACATGGTTTATTTACTTTATTTTGGATTATTTACAGTGAAGTACATGGTTTATTTACTTTATTTTGGATTATTTACAGTAAAGTACATAGTTTATTTACTTTATTTGGGATTATTTACTGTGAAGTACATGATTTATTTACTTAATTTTGGATTATTTACAGTGTAACTAAAAATTTTTTAAAGTGGTTTATTAAGTTTATTTTAAATTATTTAAAGTGTAACTTGGTTTATTAGGTTTATTTAAAATTATTTACAGTGTAACTTAGCTTAAATTTTTTATTTTGGATTATTTACAGTGTAATTTGGCATTTTAATTTAAAACTAGACAAATAAGAAAAAATGTGTTATTAAAAATAGATAATTTAACAAATAAAATTAAATACAAACTTTTAGCAAAACTTTTTTTAACAAGTAAAAATAATTAATATATATTCTATAAAAATATTTTTTAAAAGTAAAACACTTACAAATCTGTTTCGCTATTGTATTAATTTTTGTTAAAATCAATTTGTTTATTTAAAGTGCTTTGTATATAAGGAATATTATAATATATATCATTATAAAATGATATATATTTTTATTGCTTCATACACTTTGTTTTTCAAGTTAACTTGTTTTTATACTGAGTTGCCATGGTAATTACAAACTACTATTATGAATTATAATTCAACTCAGGGACATGCTGGCTCCAAAAAACCCATGCAGGATTTTTCTGAAAATGCTCATTTTTGTGGGATTTTACCATATATGCTTGATTTAAAGGCCCATATATACACTACCGTCCATAATTATTCAAAAGGTTGGAACTTTTGATATAGGATATCAAAGTTTTACTATTGGGAGAAAAAAAGGAAACAAAATCTACCTGAATTATATTTTATCTTTCTATTTATTAGGCTTACAAAAAAATTAATATAAAGTCCCATAAGATATGTTTATAATTTACTTGCCTATTAATCACTCTTAGTGATAATAATTGACATACATATTCTTAGCATTCTACTTAATGACTTATCTAATTTGTCAAAGTTAAATTTATGCCATAATGAATATTCATCATTAAGCATTAGTTTTTGACATTATTTTTAATTCCTCTATAAAAATCGGATAGGAGAGAGATCTTGTGGTTGGGGGAGCTAAACCATTCTTTTTAATATTTGATTATTCTTGAATTTAGTCAAATAAATTATACAATGTTCCAAAGAAAATGTTCGGGATTTAAGATTAAAGTCATATTCTCCTAAAAAATGGCTTCCCATTAACCCAACTTTCCAAAGGTATAGCATGACTTTTTAAGTGTCTAAGTAAACTACTATTTCTCATTATTCCCTCAATTTTTACAATGTCACCTGTGGCATTCCAACCAAAACAGCCCCACACCTTAACACTACATCCACCATATTTTACAGTCAATAATACATACTATTTTATTATACATTCAATGATTGTTTTTTTTAAACAAACAATTTTCTTATGAAAGCAAAGATTTAAAACTTCGACAATTTAGTCCATGTTTACAGACATTGGTGGTCCATTTTTTATATTTTTGCCCACTTAAGCATTTTTATTATTCCTATGATCTTTATCAAAGCATTTTAATTAAAATACTTTTATGTTTTTTAAATTATCTAATAGTACAAAAATAAACATAAAAATAAAATTTCTATTTTATTATCTAAAGAACATTAACAAAAAAAAATTAAAATATATATATGTTATTATATTTAAATATATATACATTTATTACATATTTTTGTTTTAATGTGATAGCCTAATCCGTAATAGCCTAAGAGAAGAGAGGGAAATTTTTACTATTTATAAAGTACAAGCATTAGTAAAAATACAAGTGTTTATAAGCGTTATAAAAATAACAGTACAATATAAATAGAAACCACAAAAATTTAAAGTAATGGAGGTCTCCATTTTAATTTATCTTAAATATAACTTAAAAGTAATAAAATGCTTTAATTACAACATACACATAACGCGGTTATTAAAGTTTATAATATTAAATATTAATTTCAACATATTTGTGGTCCCACACTTTAATTAAATACTTTGGATTCGTTTTTTTTATTATATGAAAACTCATGACACATTTGAAATCTGACATATCACCTATTTTTTTTGTTAAAAATCGGAAGATATTTAACAAAACAAATAAGTGATATGTCCATATCATCATTATATAACGAGCACAAAAGTAACATGTCCAATGTATCTTTTGTGCACCGGAATTATGTCACTTCTTAATGTGCGTAAAAGTAATATGTACGATATGCCTTTTGTGCAAAAGAAATTCATAACAAACACGTGTTGGTATTGGCGTGCACATTGGTAATATGTACTGTGGTGTTACCTTGTGATGTACGCTTCCGTACTACTGAGCGCTTTTGCATATATTTTTATACTATTTGTATCGAATTTATAATAAAGAATATTGTAATAAATTTGAAATTAAAAAATAATTATATTGTTTTCATTTTAAAACTGTCGGTTAGTTAGAAACACTGACCATGTTTTTTTTTTAAATATTGCAGTTATTTCACTTGGTTTCGTTATTTAAATAAATGTGAAATTATATTATATTGAGAGATATTTTAAAGAAACTTTATAAGTGGTGCTTTTTGTAAATTTTTTGAACTGTAAAACGTGAAACTGTGAAGTGTGTAAACATTCTTAGTTTATGTAGTTTAGTTATTCCGTATTAGTTTTTGTCATATTTTATTAGTTTATTTTAGTGTAGTATAGTTTAGTGTTACTATTTTAGTGTAATATTAGTTGTAAGCGCAAAAAACTTAAAATGTTTCCTAATCAAAGTGCTCGAAGCAATTTAATTTTTGAAATGTTAAATGTACCCAAAGATCCCACCATTGTACAATCAAGTGTTAGTACAACTTTGGAAACAAGTAAGAGAATTCTTTATAATTTATAACTTCACATTATGCAAAGTAATTATGAAATTTTATATTATTTTTAAACTCCTGTTTTTTCAGATTCCCTTCCTAGTGTTGAAATCCAGTATTTGGATCACGAGATGAAAGAAATGTTTCCTT